ACTGTAGTACTACAGGTGGGAATAGCTTATAGATATCAAACATTTTTATGATTCAAAATAGAGCAAAAGTCCCTGTAGTAATATTAGTTCCATTATGTATTATTCCTGTAAGTTCCATTATGCATTAATAAATAAAATACGAAATAGCCATATCTTTGTGTCCAAAATTCTAAAGGATATGTATGATCAAATCGCAGAAGTAGCAGGTAAATGTAAAAATTAAATTACACGTAATGGAATTATTAGTTGTCAAATCCACAACTTATATTTCTCATTTACTTCCTAAATTTGGGACAAAAATATTTATTTTCATTCAGTAATAGGCATTGGAAAGTGATTTAACACAATAAATTCGTACTCAAAAATGCATGAAAATTCGATGAATAAATATTTGTTTTATTTAATTTATTAAAGCAAAATATACGTTTTACTAGTTTCAATTTTTGTTTTACTTCAATCGTATAGAAATAAATAGGTCGCTTACGTACTTTCCCATCAACTGCGAAAGTTGGCGGAGATCTAGCGAAATTTAGGCCAATGATTCCACAGGAAATTTGAAAATATGGACTACACTTTGTTTAGGGACCCACCAGCGGCTGAGCGGTATAGTCGCTGAACACTGGTAGTTCGGTTAGAGTTTCGAATCCCGCGAACGGGCTGGCTGCATGGGCGTTTTCGTGGTTTTTCCCCATGTGTAACGTGTATACGAGCCAGTTTCCCTTAAAAAGTCCTCCACGAAGGCATCCCTCCCCTTAGGCAAAATAGCCCTCGAGGCTTTGCCATAATCACACACACACACTTTGTGTAGTTAGACGATAAACAGACGTAAATTATGCTGCTTGATGTAACTCACCTGTCGAATGGATATTTTTTTGTCACATCCATTTTGAAACAAAATCCCATATCATGCCAATAAACGCAAATTTTACTTATGCTGGGAAACAGTAACTTTGAAAATACTTCATTGTATGTGTTTTCACATAAAGTAGGAACCAAATTAAAAAAAAAAAAAGAAGTTAGTTAACTTCTTTACAAAATTATACTGATTTATCACGGATTAATTGGTTTTACGTAAGACTAAAGAGAAGATCTTATGAGTGTTATTGTGACATCAAGCTCATTGGCGCCGAATTTCCCTGTTTGGCGACAGATTTCCTCTGTTGAAAATAATCGACAGTAAAGTAAAGTACGTAAGTACAAAAAAGGAATTTCATAATTACAGAAAGCTCCATCTTATAATAGTTAAATTGTTAAAATTTGCCTTAAAGTTCTCTATCATATTTTGTTATACTTACATTAGATTTAGATACTTGATTAGAATTGTAAATCATAAATATTTAAAGAAATAGAGATGTGGGCACCTTTTCCAAACACCTTTTGCACTTTTGAATACATTACATGGATAGAGAAATAACCTACCTACTAATGTTTTTATATGCTTATCACAATTATTTGGATAACTTTTTGTAATAACTGTGATTAATTCATATATTTGATTATGATCAATCCACGATTCAAAGTTAACGTTTTACCATATAAATATCTATAAAATAATAAAAGTTTTATTCTTGCCTTAATATGTACTTTAGTACATACTCTGATGCTTTAATATCCTTTTATTAAACACCAGTTATAACTAAATGTGTGAAATATTTCATCGATACAATTGAGTTCCATTTAAATAAGATGAAACCGATTTAAGTACATTGAAAAGGCTTTCCCTTAAAGTATTAACTTGCTTTAAAGAAAGTTAATTGTGTTGGAGATCGTTACACTATTTATTTTTAATTTGTAACAAAATGATGCTTAAAGAAATTCCAAACCATGTTATTTATTTTTCTCACATATACCTGCAGCTAACCATTTATTAAGTTTTTAATCATGCCTTTAGAATTAACATATTACTATACTTAATATTATTCATAAAACTTATTTATTATTTATTGAGCATTTCAAAAGCTTCTTATTTTTAATTGATTTTACAGATTTATTAATTCCTTCAATTAAATTTGTTTAATAGCTAATAAATGCTATTAATTTAACGTATTTCTATGTCTAATTAGTGTCTTAAATTTTAATAGAATTGCAAATCCTGAATGTATAGTTATCAGAAATAGACTTGTAAATGACTATTTTAGGGATCGCTCAAGATATTTTAATTTTTCCCTCATAGCGTAATTGCTTCTCTGGAGCGCAAATTTAACAAAATATATGAAGCAGGAAGAAAAGTAACACAGTGTAACACTGTGATAATGACTGGGACTGTGACTGATATGACTATTTTAATATTACATTATTCTAACCCCCAGCAATGAAAACTGCTCTTGCTTTACTAATGAGATTACATTGCGACTATTGTAGGCAAAATCAAAAATTTAACTAATTATATTATGATAAATAAATTATACTGTATATATTTTTACTAAATTCCTTTTCGTTTCCGTAACTTACAAAAACTAAACCTTGCACAAAAAAAGGGGGTGGCAGTTCTATATCTAACATTCTACTGCACCGATTGCTGAAATTCAGCTTGCGTGTTCCATGTTTTGAAAGCGCGACTTAGGATATATATTAGATTTATGTATAGCATTGTTATAACATAGGTATTTTGACACAAAATCGGACTTTTTCTGAAATAGCATAGAAATATTTTTCCATATTTCGATTCTACGACTCAAATATTAAATTTTGTAATTTTTGGCGAGAAATTTATGGAGAAATTTAAAACTTTATCTTGCCGCGTTTTTTTTTTTCCATTTGTGCCAAGTATAATTCACTTGGCAAACTTCTTAATTTATAGCAACGTATTTTACTTTCCTTTTTTTCATTGTACACGCGCAGAAAAAAGTCATCGTTTATACTTTCAAATAATTTTAATTAACGCCAAGTGCGTAAACACACTTGGCGTTATTATTGCTTATAACAAATATGCCAAATTGCAAAACATGCCAATATGTAAATTCACGTATATCTTAGGAAAGTTTCGAATAAAAAACTCTATTTTTCTGCAGGTGTGCTACTTTAAGATGACTGAAAATATTTTATAGTTTATAATTCAGAATTTTTTTCAATTATAATATATTTAAAAATACAGATAAAAATAATCATAAAATGGGAATTTTCTTGAATGAACCTAAATTTCAAAATGTGAAAGGAAGAATCAAACCAGTTTAATAAAAGAGAGATATTAGTAAATACATACCAAATTCAATTAACATGGAGGAGCTAAAATTCAGAGAACTAATTTTTTAAAAAGTAATCGTGCCGATTTTTACAAAACTTGGCACTCTGGTATAATGCAAGCTGTAGAATCGAAATATGGAAACACAAATGGCATCTTATTTCAGAAAAAGTCCGATTTTGTGTCAAAATACTCATGTTAGAACAATACTATACAAAAATCTCATAAATATTCTAAGTAGCTCTTTCAAGACATGGAACAGCTAAATTTAGATAATCGGTCCAGAAAGGGAGATAAAGAACTGTCCCATTTTTTGTTTTGGTGCGAAGTGTACATCATTCAAATAAAGTATGATCAATGGAATATTAAAGATATTTAAAATGCGCTATTAACTACTGTGAAATACATTACAGTTTAAAAAAACGTAAAACCTGGAAGGAGTGTAGCGACTTATTCTTCGTTGGATATTATAAAGCAGGCATCACAGAACAAATTATTAGCATTTTAAAATGATACCCTTTACTCACGTCACTGCAATTAATATTCTGTGTGTTAATCTTTGACTACTGCTGCTTCCTGAATACATTTGGCATAGATTTAATAGCTTCTCATGCAACAACTATCCAATGTTCTTCAATTTGCTCCCAGTACTCACTACGATTTCCCTAGAGAACTAACACTCTTCGTTTCATCACAATCCACTCATTTTCGATGGGATATAAATAAATTGATCTAAGTAACCAAGGAGAATTGGAAGCGTTGTCGCTGCTAAAGGTGACTTAAATTTTTCCTCCAGGATAAAGTCTTTGTACCAGAAAATTACCTCATAAAGTCATTGCAATCACAGATGTGCCCGATTGTCTGTAACATACCATTGACTTTCTCAGCTCTCTTTGAGGCAGCATAAATTTTGCAAGAAGTGTATTAAATTCAGCAGTAGTATACACAAAAATACTTCTTTATGGTGCGTTACGTCGGGTATGAATACACTTTTCTCCGAATCTCTCACCTCATCAGCGAACATATAAACGACCATCATGTTCACGTACACGAAGTCGTGATTCGTCGATGAACATGAAGGTTATGTCTCTCAGTCTGCAATGATGGACGATCGATGACACCATTGTAGTCTGCCAGTACATTGCTGAAGTGAAGTAGTTGCAGATTACAGTGGTGCTCCAGTCTGCAAATTGCTGTGACAGATGACTCTTGCGAATGCGTTACCGATCAGTGTTCGCTGTACCAATACTGTTGATGATGTAGAATAGTCGGTCAAGGACATTCTGATGAGATGAAGATCATCTCTTTACACTGTCTTTATACAACGTCCAAAACCTTTACCGTAGCCTGTATTCTTCTTTGAACTTATTACGTCAAACTCCTTAAATGATAAAACCACTCAATTCCACTTACCCGGGAATGCAATGCAAAGAGATATTAAATTCTCTCATACCAGTAATGCGTCTTTTATCAAAGTTGCTGATGTGATTCTACCGTTACCGTATCAGCCGTAGAGGTATTCTTACTCACTACTAAACAATTGTTAAAATTGTTGTCCAGCCACGGGAGTAAATTTACGTACTCATAGCTCATTTACATAATCAAGATTTATAGACCAAGAAGGCTGAAATGCTAATAGTATTTCTATATTGCCTACTTCACATATGATAAAAATCTTAAAAATTATCGTCTACTTTCCTTCTAGGTTTTCTTCCTTTTTTTTAACAGCAGAGGTCATTGGAAAAAGGGAGATTAAATAATAATTGCAGAATTAGCATTGTTGGTTAAAAGAGATATTAATCTAATTAAAATAACTTACCTCTTCCATCCAAATGTTTAACTGCAACAAAAATAAAAATGCAGTTTATTACCTATATCTAATGCTAACGTCTAATATTATATATAAATATGATACATTTTCTTGCAAAATACAAAATAAAATAATTTTAACTCTCTGTATCCCAAATGCAAATCAAAGTTTCTTTTAATTACTACATTGTTTCATTTATTTTTATTGCATTAAAGACTAGCTGCATAGTCCTTAAAAGCATTACAGCACCCAAATATTGTAAAATAAAAATTTAAACTTTTATAAAGTTCAGTTGAGTAATTTATTACATCTTTAAAACTGCCTGTATCAGGTTCATACTGTAGCAAATCCTCCCTGGGGTAAACATGCATGAGTCCAGATGAAATTGATCGAAGTGATCATCTTAGATAACGATTACCGATTCTTCTTTATATTTTTAGACTGTTTTATGGTGGTTATTTTCAGCAGTGACCGTTTTATGGAGGTGGTTGCTATGAGAAATGCTTTTAGTTGCCCTAAGCTAAATAATTAAATTCAAACGAAGACAAAATATTAATAAACTAATGAGGATTGTTGGTATAGTTGACTTCATTAAAAAGCAACATTGTTTCAAGTGGTAAATATATAAGGTATTTCTCCCGCCTTCTTAGCGAGCCGTATGTTCTGCATGCTCAGCGCATAATTGAGAGGTCCGCAGTTCAATTCCCGTCGGAGGCGTTTGCATATTTTTCATCTTGCCTGCTTCCATAAAATACCTAATTTCTCTACAGTGGTGCCCGAACTAAAGAGGATGTTGGAAGATGATTCTCCTCATCCAGGATTTGGCAATTGGGTCCCCTAAAAACCCAGTCGCCCTTTAAAAGGGGAGTATATAAGGTATTTCTCCCGCCTTCTTAGCGAGCCTTCATGGTGTAATGGCCTGCACGCTCAGCGCGTAATTGAGAAGTCCACGGTTCGATTCCCGGCGAAGGCGTTTGCCCATTGTTCATCTCTCCAGCTTTTCAAATTAATCTAATGTCTCTATAAACATAAAGTTTAGTATTCCTTATGCAGAATCATGAATTATGATAATAGTGCAAAAATATTTTTATATTGTCATAGAAATGCAAATGATGCTACGAAATTCAACAGAAATCACACACGACTTTATAAATTTATAACATCTATAAACATCTATAATTTTTTCCTTGTAACTATATATACTGTAGCATTAACTGCTAAAGGTACTGGTGTGTTCTTTAAATATTATATTATACCATATTTAAATTTAGCTATAGAATTATGATAGTTTAGTTACCTATAGAATAATGATAGATAAAATATAATAATAGTTTTAACTGCATAGCAGTAGGAATATTACACTCGTTTTTCTACTTATGACATTTGAGAATATTTCTTAATATAATTTATTTACATTGAAGTTGCACTTAAACTCCATGAGTGTATTTCCTCAGGATGTGTTTGTATAATTTTTCTGTAGTTTTTAGTTCTTTTGTGGTTGTATTATAATTCGATTAAAAATTTTATCTTGCTTAATGTTAATATAAAATCAGCTACATGTTTTGCACCTTTTTTTCGATTAAAACTAATCTTGGGTGCAACTATTTTCTACGAAACAAACTTCATTAGACGATAAAGAATTTCAGGCATCTGCTATTTATCACTAATTACCGATAACTATTATAAAGCAGATATTTCATTATAGAACATTTTTTAATTCCTTTAAATTTAATAAAATAAGTAAGGACGGGAAAGAAAGAATAATATGTTAGTTCATTTTAAAAGGATCTGCGCACATATACATCGAAATGGGAAGAAGCCATTTTCGGATTTTGTTGATTTTATTTTCTAAAATTAAAACATTAATAGTATAAGAATAAAGGAAAATATACAGGTTTTTGAGAATATGCTTTTTTCTCACATTAGTGCTTAATATGAAGAAAACAGTTCTTGAAAAGGAGTTGTATGTTTCTAGCTCTTAAAGTAGTAAGAGCTGTTCATGCAAATTATTTTAAGTTTATTTATTAGTGAGTATTATAAATGAAATTATTTTTAAAATAAAAGAGAACATCATATCGTATACAGAGAAGTTTAATTAGAGCATTTTCCTAAGTAAATATTCAATTACGAAATAGACCAGCTCCATAATAGTAAAAGTCAACTCTTTTGACATTGCAAATGCATTCCTTTTAGAATATAGTTAAGCGAGTTAGTTACCTCTAACAATAAGCATGAAGGCAATTTCATCCGCCCCGTACACATTCTGCACTCTGCACGTATAGTTTCCAGCGTCATCGTCCTCCACATCTTCGATCAGAAGGCTTCCATTGTTCAAGAACTTCGTCCTTCGTCTATCACGAATAGCTTGGCCCCTGAGGATGCAACAAATCCATTGACATTTTCACTGACACAAAGTCAATGTTTAATTAATTAATTGAATCTCGCTAAATATTGATCTCTCAGCGTCTGAAAGTGCATGTGGGTTGAGGTGAGGGGACGTGTTGGTAAAGGTTAAGACGCAAAGTGTATCCAATAGAAAGATGCATGAATTACCTGCTGTGCCATGAGCTTCCGCTAATTATAATTCGAAATACTAACTACAGCTATTTTTGTAAAAGCAAACTTTAATTATAGTAAACGCATATTAAGTTATTATAAACTGCTTAAAATCAATTACATGGTGATACCGTTATGATGCGTTACTAACAAAATATTTATTCGCAAGTATCAAACGATTTTCGATTATCGTCTTGATAATTAAACGTATAAAAGAAGTATTTTAATTAATTTAATCCATAAGATTTCCTTTATGCATATAAGAGAAATAAATTATAATCTGATACTACACCTTAAGTGAGTATCGTCAGCAGTAAATATGCATGATATCTTAAAGCTTGTAAAGTTAGTTTTGAGTTTTTTGTCAAACTATAAGCATATTTAATGCGTAGCCCTGCAGACTTATTAGTATGAGATCATTTAAACGCTGTTTACCCTTACAGACAATAAAAAGTAAGAAATTGTATTCTAGGGAGTTCTACATAAATATATTTACATCTCAGTTTCAGTCGGTTAAAAATTTAACCACAAAATCGTTGTGTCGAATTTATAAAAATATTACATATACTTAAATTAAATATATCGATATTTTAGGTCTAGACGTTAGTGAATAAAATCTGCAAAACCTACTCATATAAAGTGAATAAAACTGAAAAAGCCAATTATATATTTACGGAATCAGTTTAAACTTATTTAAGAAAACAAATCTACGATCTTAAAATACAACGTGTAAAAATGTACAATACTATCTGTCTAATGAAAGATCAGTTGCTTACTTAAACGTCCAAATTCTTTCAGCAGCAGGTATTCCAACAGTTTTACAGGGTAGTTGCACGGATGATTTTCTGCGTGCTACAACTTGCTGTGAAAATGAGGCTATCCTAGCAGGTACTTGAATAAAGGAAGAAATAAAGAACCGGATTAATAATAAAACTTAAATTATATTATATCCACCAGTCTTAAATAACTAAATAAATTTAAATATTACTTAAAATCGTAAGCAATTAACAAAGTATATTGAACAAAAGTAAGCGAGAAGATTGTTCCTACTGTTGGGATAAAAACCGGCTTTTTAATTTTCGAGGATAACATTATACTCATTTCAAGTTAGATTTCGGGCCCACCTGCGGCCGAGTCGCTGAAAAGTCGCTGAACACTGGTAGTTCGGTTCGAGGTTCGAATCCCGCGAACGGGCTGGCTGCATGTGTGTTTTCGTGGTTTTCTTCATGTGTAACGTGTATACGAGCCAGTTCCCTTAATAAGTCATCCACGAAGGCATCCCTCCCCTTAGGCAGATAGCCCTAGTGTGCTTTGCCATAATTAAATACTCACAAACCATCAATTTAGATTTCTTAGAGGTTTTCCTGCAAAGCACTTCTCGTAAAGGACGTAATTTCCATTCTTTCCTAGAATGTTTTTCCCATTGGCGGGCCCAGTTCTCCCACAGACGTCGGCCAATACTAAGGCCAGAAGCAGTGGCCACTTTATTATAAAGGCATCTTATAGGTGGGCCACTTTTACCTTCCATGAGAGGACGACAGAAAAATACCCTCATGCCTCGTAGCCCGTATAGGGACATAGGGCAAACATTGTTTTGCAAGGTGGACCGGGCTGCGTCTTAACAAAACAAATACCCTCATGCCTTCTCTTCTTCGAACCCGGGCCCTTTGTTATCGCAGTCGGCTCTCCTAACCACTATATCGTCTGGGCGGCTCTTTATTAGAATGAAATAGAAAAATTTGGTCTCAATCCCACCTCTTTTATTTCGAGCAAACATTCCAGCTTTCCTTGGAAGCACTAAACCTTCTACTGTGTTGACCGTATTAGCAAGGCTTTGATGAAGTTTTACTGAGCTGCGATGAAACTGTAGCTAGCAAAAATTTCGTGTCTTTTGTGCTAATGTTTGCATTGAACTTTCTCATTTGTTTACTATAGATCTTAATTAATTCACATAAGACATAAAAAAATCACCCAGACTTCTTACGCATTCGTACGTATGATGAGAGTAGTTGATGAGCCGTTAAACAAGAATGACTCATAAATGGAAATTCAATTATTTCATTACATTTCGAATCTATCAACTAAACATTTAGGTGAGATTCTCATTATGTGTCAGATTTGTCAATATATTAGCATAAAAACTTATTATAAACGAATACAAATATCAATATAAGCATCAAGCGAAGTATTAGGCGGTTAAATGAATAGTGCTAATGAGCCTCATGGTTTTCTTAATCCGTTGCTGTTTGAACCACGCTTTTCTCATAATCCGCTTTGCATATGAATGTGTTTCTGCTAATAGTAGAGATTAAATCAGAAAAAGATAATATTGTTGTAAGATTTTCCTTCAGTTATAGTTTAATTTAGAGATCTTTAATTAAAAATATAAATTAATTCAGGTAACGTGTATAAAGTACAAAGGGATGGATGACTGGATTTTCTAATATATGTAGTATTTATGTTTATATGAAAAGCATACGTATTAAAAGGTTATAATAAAAACTATTATCTTATTCCAAACACACCAAGACACTTTTTTAAACACACCGAATAAATGAATCGTACAAGTCATAATTATATTTTTCGATTACAAATTTTTAAAGTATTAAACATCTATAACATAATGTCATAAAAAAGAAATGGAATAACAAAAGAAATTGTAAAATATTAATCCACTGCACGAGAATCTAACTTCAATGCTAGTAAAAGAAAGAATTTAATCTTACTACTTCACCGGAAATAAAAATTTTTAGCCTGGTATAATATATAGAGGATAAACTAAATAAGAAATTAGCCCACAAATTTTATTGTCCTTTAATCTTACAAGTTAATTAAAAATTAATTAATTAGTTTAGAAACGTCGAAATCAACAAAGGCTGCATCCTCTGTTATCAGGAAACGTGCATTATTCGAAAGAAACGTTAAAGGTGTCAAGATCTGTTCAAAGCTTTAAGAGCATTAATTAATTGTTTATTTATTAGTTTTAAGAAAATAGTTCTAATTTAAGAAAACATATAGTTCTATAAGATAGCAACAGAGAAAAACTGTTACTTTTCCAAACGGTAAGCGCTTTAGACAAGCTGAAAATTAAATAATTCCATTTCAGAATTCTAATTAAGATTCACTACAATTATTTTTAAAATTCACTAATTTATTATAAAAAAATTTGCTTGTAAAAGTTGACATAATTTTCATCCTGCTTGAAGAACGTATCCGGTAAAACAACAAAAAATTAAATAATATAATCGAAGCTAAAAAGCTATAAAATAAAGAAATAAATACAATGAATATTTTATAATGAATATAAAACAAGTAATAATGAACATTAATTAAATGACTAAACCACTGAAGGGCTTGAAGCGAAGGGCCCAGTTTCACATTTTTTAAATTTTCAGGAAAATTAAAAAAAAAAAAAAAAAAAAAAAAAAAAAAACTTTCCTTTTTAAATTTACATTTTAAACGTTTGCCTTCATTCAAAGTGATAGTAAAAATGATTTTTTACGGCTACTTCAATGAAAAGAACGACATTGTTTTTACAAAAAATACCCATGAACACAAAATCTACCAAAATGGAGCTGGACCCTTCTTGCTGCAAGCCCTTCAATTGTTATATTAAGATATCTGTTATACACTTGAATATTTACAAGATATTTTTTCAGCTAAATTAAAAATTTTGTTATATTAAGATGACTAAAAATTTAATATTTATAGTCATTATAATAAGGTAATTCGCTTTAATATTTAAAAATGTTCCATACATCTTACAAAACGCGATATCTTTTATTCAAGATTTATTAATATCTATTAAATATGTTATTTAAGTATCAATTATATTGCTTAAAAATATGGACTCCCAATGGGCAAGCGATTTTACATTCGTAGTTCCGACCTAGATTAAAATCCAGGAGAGCGGGCTGGCTGCATGGGCGGTTTCGTGGTTTTCCTCCATGTGTAAGTTTTTCGAGCCAGTTTCTCTTCCTCTAGAAAATCCTCCACGAAGTCATCCTTCCCCTTAGGCAGACAGACCTAGTGTGCTTTGCCGTAATCAAATAAACCAAACCTAAGAAAACGTAAACTGCTAGCCAGAAATGCAACACCGTGAAGTAAGTTTCCAAACAGCATGAAACATGCCTCATGGGTGTACTGCAATGGGATATGCAAATGATTACGATTTCAGCGCATATTATAGGCGACTGCAGCCCTCTTTCCAATCCATGTACTATGAAGGAAGGAAAAATTGCCTTTCTGAATGACGTGAATTGTTTTCTTGTACGATTTTTTATGTTTTCAGCTTCAGTATGCCTCATAGTAAAACATGAGCATCATTCGAGTACGCTTCTGAGTTCGAGCGAGGCACAATCGTTGCATACATACATTGAGGACTATCCTTGAGGGGAAATGGTTTTCACATCGAACGTAGCCAAGCAACAGTCATATGCATTTGGAATCGGTGGCTACAAATTACGACTGAGGGAACGACTGACAGAAAAGAGCAGTTGCAACCGCCTCGTGAGACCACTTCACACAGGCATATTGTGCGTATGGCACTGTTGGAGCGCATTGCCACATCCTCAACCATACCAGTACGCATGCAGTCAATAACACAACAATCGGTGTCTGCAGGAATCGTTCAACGTCATTTACAGTACAATGGACTACCCGCTAAACATCCACTGCTTAGCTTACCTTTAACTTTAAACCACAGGCATTTGCGTTTAGGTTTGCACAGAATGAAACAGATGAACATCTGAATGGCATTGGGTTTTCGGACGAATTCCATTTCTTCCTGCAGTACTACGATGGTGAGATTAGAGTTTTGGAGACACCGCTGAGAAAGCCTGTTCAACTGTTGTGTTAGCACTAACCAGCTAACGCTATATCTCTGATGTTTTGCAACCTGTTCTCTTTCCTTACTGCAGGTCTTGCTTACGGCCATATTTCAGCAAAACAATGTCTGACCACACGTTTCACGCCGTGTTATTGACAAATATGAAGGCAACACCCATTACTAATTTTCTTGTCTTTCTCACCTCAAAGAGGTTGTATTTGAAATCAGTTAACATTGATACTATGTAGAATATCGGAAATTAATTTGGCTTTGCCATCTCTTGTCCTTCTTCGTGTTGCATTTTGGACGCCTAGCAGTGTGTATTATGGATTATTTTTCATTTCAAGTAATTGCGCAAATATATTTTAGAAATAATAAAAATTAATTTAGCAGTTAATTTGAAAGTTAGCAGAAAAAATTCTCCCAAACAAAATATTTCGGTTTATTTTCATTAGTGAGAAATATTTATTTGAGAAAACGTTACACATGTGAAAAATATGAAATCCATGAAAACCTTCACGCAGGAAGCCTGTTCAGCCTGATTCGAGCCAGATTTAACTGTTCTTTTCACTCGACTACTCATCAGTCTGTTTCGATTTGACTGTCGCATTTGTGAACAACATATATGTAAAACATAGTAATTATTCATTCTGGAAAAGTTTTGTACAGCTAAATTGTTATGTTGACCGTTAACAGCTAGTTCGCATATTCACCGGAAACCATATTAGGATGTAATGTCAGGATTTGCAGATCAGACTGTTATAAATCAAATAAACTGTTATAAATGATGTAAGAGAAAAGAATAGTAGGCAATACTTTTTAAAGCAAAATGCACCTGCATTTTGAGAATTAGAGGGTGCGTATTTAAATATGATTTTGGAATAAAAATATATATTGACCTAAAATCTTTAATATATTTTAACACCAATTACACTTTGTTTTTTAGCAAATATATGAAATCTTCTGTTTGGAATCAATTAAAAACAAACTGATAAATATTTCGTTCATAGAAAATTTAAACGATTCATGAAAATTTACTTGGAATGGAAATGATTCATGAAAGTTTACTAAAAATTGGAAGTCAAATAAATTTGACTTCTAGTTTCAGAGGCATGCAAAACTGAAAATAAATATTCAAGATGAGATTTGAAACATATCTGTAAGTTTTGTAGCATCGAAAGATGACTGTATTATAGTTAGTAAAAGTGAAAAACTGCCATTAGAAAATTTGTTCTTCAAACTGAAGAACGATGCATAACAATATCAATCAGATACACATTATTGATTCAAACTGTTCGCTCTTTCAAGCGTTTACACAATCCTTTCTCGTATTACTGCGTTCAGTTATACTGCAAGTCTTTACAACAAGTTTCGGATGTTATCCTTTTGAAGGCAGTCGTTTTCTTAATTTAACTCATCATCAATGACAACAATGCTGCATTAAAATCATTCTTTATATTTCCATGGCTTAAAGATCAATCAGATTTGCTCACTCTGCAACTGTCACTTACTGCTGCATAATTCAGTACCATCCTGGCTAATGATATGAACTCGAACATGTGACTCTTATATAAAATACAAAAGCCTGATCTGAAACACCACACCGCATTATAAGTTAAATTTCATTATTTGTAGAAAATAAATTTTTAAGGAAACTTCACATTGCCGAGACATGAATATTTTCGTCATTTAAAGCACTTCTGTAACTGGAAGTATATGACTACTACCAACAATTGCAAAAACAAAGGCCGGATAAGGACTTTTTACCTGAGTAAAGGGGTGGGTATACATATATATATATATACATATACATACATACATACATACATACATATATATATATATATATAATAGTAGTAGGTAGAAACATTGCTGCGATCTTGCTAAAAAGTTACCAGGAGCTGTAGCTCCACGAAATATTTTAACGCTGTATTACACAAATATAAACTAAGAAGAAATTTGTCTGGAAAAACTGGAAAAAACTGTAAATACGCGAAGAAAACTGCCAAAATTAATGCTGGAAGACATGCTAATGCACGAAAAAAATTAATCTGACCGTTGTGATATGTGAAAAGTTAACTCACATGAAAAATAGATTGACGGAAAAAATATTTAAGAAAAGTAAATACATATAAAAAATATAGACTGAAAAAATGCCAATATATAAAAAGTAAAAATTAAAATGAAAACATAAATTGCAACAAAACAAAATACAATAATTACATAGCAGAAAATGGTAAATTAACTCACTCGTACCCTCAATTGGCTTTTCAAGGGAAAAAAAAACTGATTGTCGTGTAGTGGTGTATTTAATTATGGCAAAGCACACGAGGGATATCTGCCTAAAGGGAGGAATGCCTTTCGTGGAGGACTTTCTAAGGGAAACTGGCTCGTATACACGTTACACATGGGAAAAACCACGAAAACGCCCATGCAGCCAGCCCGTTCGCGGGATTCGAACCTCAGACCGAACTACCAGTGTTCAGCGTCTTTACCGCTCGGCCGCTGGTGGGCCTTAAACTGATTGTCGAACTAGGTTAAATACCATTACGCGTTTCGCCGAAACAGACCATTGAAGTTCTTGTTTAATGCGAAAAATTTTTTATGAAAGAACATTAATATTCCCGAATATATCTTTTTTGGAATAAATTCTTTTAAGAGCTTCAATGGTCTTTTTCGGCGAAACGCGTAATGGTATTTAACCTAGTTCGACAATCAGTTTTTTTTCCCTTGAAAAGCCAATTGAGAGTATGAGTGGGGTTAATTTACCATTTTCCGCTATTTAATTATAGTATTTAGTATTTTGTATTGTTGCAATTTATGTTTGTCATTTTAATTTTTACTTTTTAAAAAATTTGTTGTTTTTTCAGTATATTGAAATTTTTTTAATCTATGTTTTTCTGTACTTTCCTTAATATATTTTTTTCCGTCGTTCTATTTTTCATGTGAGTTAAGTTTTCACATATCACAACGGTCAGATTAATTTTTTCATGCATTAAGCAAGTCTTCCAGCATTAATTTTAGCTGTTTTCTTCATGTGTTTACAGTTTTTTTTTCCAGTTTTTCCAGACTAATTTCTTCTTATTTATATTTTGTAACACAGCGGTTAAAATAGTTCGTGGAGCTACAGCTCCTGGTAACTTTTTAGCAAGATCGCAGCAATGTTTCTACCTACTACTATTATTTCATTTCTTTTTGCAACATTATGCGCAAAAAAATTTTTAACACCAAATAGGTCTTACGTCTAATTACTTGTTAGCTTTACATTTTCTTTTTCAATTATATATATATATAGATAGAGAGAGAGAGAGATGTTTGGTACTGCCAATTGCAATAGAAAAGGGAGGCGTACAACTAGATGTCATAGTAGTTTCATATACAAGTTTCAGCATGCTATACCTAAATCCAAGATACATACATACGTATGTATGTCATGAAAACATCCCTTTTGAATCTGCTTTAAGTCCCTTTTACAATACATTTTGAAAATAAAGGTTCCTCTGTTCTATCCGTACGTAGAGATAGGAAGCAAAAAAGTGGTCTAAATGGATTCGGAAAAGATCAAAATGGATATTTCACTTTAAATATGATACTCAGGAACTTTTGCGATTACAATACTTTCATTACTTCGCACAAGGAAGTATAAAGAAGCTTCACGTTGCATAGTACCACATATACATAGTAACTCACTATATTTACTTTAAACACATAGCCATATTCCTGATTCAATTCTGCAGTCACAAAATCATTTCAAAATTAGAGTATATTATTAAGCTTTTAAATTACATAAAAGTATAATTTATAGTATTATAGGGAATATTAGTATTATAGGCTAAAGATTAAAAGTAAGGGATTTGCATTCCTTTAAAAAATAAATTAAAGAGATTAAGCTTACTTGTATCAGAAGTGGTTTGTGATAGAACTCTTGTTCCTTCGCTCTCTCCGGCTGAAGTGGAAGAAGTCACCCAAAATTCATATCTCTTCGATCTCTCCAAGCGCAGTGCTTCGTAGTAAAGTTGAGAAGGAGACAATGTGTGTTTCTTTGTAACCTAAGATGGGAGATATAACCTAAGATTATGAGATACCTCAAACAGGAATAGGCTCAGAAAAGTTGTTCAGAAATTTTGGGCTTAAATAAACTTCTACTAATGTTCCATTAACTCTAGCAATCCTATTACTATAAGCGCCAGAGAAAGGATAAATTTGCACTGAACGTTTGCAGAAGTATCGTAGACATTTATAATAATAATAGGCAAAGAAAATTATTCTCACCTGCCTGTTGTTCTGTGTAGTCCTTTGGTACAACGTGTATTGTTGCAAAATTCCATTTGGTTGAGTTGGAGGTTGCCAGCTGAGAAGAATGGCATCAGGCAACATTGGCAAAGCCTTGATGTCAGAAGGAGGGCTAGGAACTGGCGAGAGAGAAAATAAGTTAAAAAATTCCGTTAATAAAAAAATAAAAAGACTAGATTCGGTTTTATATAATAGATTTAGATTTCATATAAAATTTTGGTTTCATTAAACATTTTTTACTCTTAAATCATTTCAACATTTAAGTAATGTGCTCAAATTTGGCATTTTATAAACATAAACTTTTACAAAAGAGACTTAAAAACTTATTAAAGTGAGGTTCAATACTAGGTTTAAGTCTTAAGGACTTGTTGTATAATACTGAAACATTTTAGCAGTATAGGGTTCTTTAACTAGTTTGACTTTTGGTGGGTTTTAAACTCATCCGATACAATTAATTCAAAACGTTTCACAGAGATTGACAAGATCATGATAGGGTTTACTTCTACGGTATTTTAAAATTTAAACAAGTTACACATTTAAATTAAACATCGTCATTGATCAAAGGTCAAAAGAGAATTTGACAGGAGTTGACATAATTTCAAAAGAGATATAACAATGATCACTTAAAGTGATACAGTCCATAACTTTCCAATTATGAATGAAAGACGTGGAAGAGATTGATCTGGAAGCTGTAATATCAATCCAGCTCTTTCCCCTTGTGCAGTTGTAGGTAGGGGGACCATCCGGATCGTTTTCAACAGCCAGTCTATGCATTGTTAAGAATTCTCTAAGTGTGCGTTTTCTGGGATCCTTGAAGGGGGAGCCCCAGAGCACACTTTTCGCGTTTAAGTCGCCAAGGAGAAGAAGATCATGTTGATCGTCAAAGTAACGTTCAGCTAAGTTTAACAGAGTAGTTAAATCTGTTAAGTCCGTTATAGGTTGAGTATAACAGTTAAAAATGGTTATTGTCCTATGTTCAATCTTTAATGTAATAACATTTAAAGTAGAAGAAGCGTAAGTATTCAGAACCGTAAGTCGTGGGTTAACCACCACTGTGGCTGTTTTGGGGTGGTCATTTGGAGAAAAAATGTTTGAGTCGGAAAGCCAGACGGCTTGTCATTGATACAGTATGGTTCTTGAATAAAAATCAAGTCGTATTCAAAGATACAAGTCTTTAGTTGTGCTGTTGCGACATGTGATCTCGCTAAATTAATTTGCAACGCTTTTTTTTATTTTTTGAATAAGTTCTCTAGCCATAATTGATTTTTCTTCGAAGATCTTCAATTTCTAGCTGTCTGCTAGGAATTAAAGAGAACTGAGTCAGCTTAAAGGTTTATACGCCGCGTTTAGATTACATTACATAACAATACAATAAAGTAAAATTAACTTCTGAACATTACATGTAACATTCGACATTGTAGCTTGTATAGTATATTATCGCATTATATAAAATAAAGATTTATGAACAAATAAGTTTTATGGACTATCAGCAGAATTAAGAACCAGGCTTCAGACTGTATGAGAAATGTTTCTGAAATGAACTTTCTTAAAAATGTGACTATAGAAAAGAATGTGTGAAAAGCAAAACATAACAGTATGGTTTATTTTGAAATAAGGAAGTGGTACTAATGTTTTAATATCTTATCAAATACTATTAATAATTAGTTTTAATTTTTTGATTGCACTTTATATAACCCTCTAAATTTATCCTTTACCAAGCATAAATATTCTGTCTTCAGAATAACTATCGACAGAATTCTCATAAAAATTTGAAAAAGGTGTTTTTTATAATGTCACTTTAAATTTGAAACGCATAGAAAATTATTTAAAAAGGAAGTATTATTACCATCCTCCATAGTTCTGCAATATATAGGTTCACTGATCACACCATCTCCACGACCAGTATAAGCTAAGACACTAATGCTGTAGTTAGTAAATTTGTCCAGACTTTTCAAGAGCATCTCTTTTTCCGGAAAATTAATCAAAACTTCTTGATCTTCAATCTCTGCATGAAAAAAAGGAAACCATTAATTTATATGCAAAGCAAAATATAGTCGTACCGTTATTGAAGAATAAAAATATTTGACGAATATTCTTGACAAAATGTATTATTAATAACTATTTAACCATATGCATCATTCTTCATCAAATCTTACTTCCTTTTTCAACAGCAAACTCTTCTAGTAATAAGTATTTTTCGATTAAATAAGCCGATATGAAAGAACTGGAATTTCGAATTTAAAAGAGAATCAATGATTGGATAAATAGAAGCTTTTCCGATATTATAAATGTTCATGTAAAATGAATATACCTTACTACACAATGTAAAACCATATTTTTATTTTCCATGACATGCCGTTTTCAAAACATAAACGTATAAGCGCAACTTGTCATTTAGAAAATAACGTATGGTAGTCTGCATTTATCCCTTAATTTTGTGTTAATACTGAATATTTCTATTTATTTTACGGTAAGGTAGTACATTGGTGAAAGAAATTATTATCGTACTTGTGGAAGTTTTGTCACATTATGTTCATATGTGGAAGGTTACTGTACAACAAGCCTCTTGTTTATTAATAAACCACTCTTAAAAACATAGAGGTAGGCCTCACGTTTTAGGTAGTTTACTAAGCAATCTTAGTGTATCACTAAAAGCTGATTATTACAAAACAGTGACATTCACTACATCTGACACAATTAGGAAGTAGGTTTTAATTGTGTAAGGACGTTAAAAATGTAGATAAAAAAGGTGATTATTTTTTAATTAGACTTTAAATACATATTTGTAAAAACAGCTATACTACTCGTATTAACATCTGTGTGCTGCGTCTGTCTGTTTGTTTGTGGCATTGGTTTCTCTGAAACGGAGGGGGAATCAGTTTTGAGAAGGGTAACCTCCCACGCCCACCCCGGATTCCAAAAATTCGTAAGAAGCTATTTCGACCATTCTAACCTTCGTACGACTTTACTCAGCCAAGATATTAATTGAAAACTCTGAAAAGGATAATTTTTCAGAGTCGCAACAATCTCGTTCGCTGGAGATAAAAATCTGATTTTTTTTCGAAACACGTTGCCATTGCTCTCTTTACAATAGTAGAATTTGTTAATACAAATATGTAAGTTTTTACAAACTATGAAATAAAAATCTGATGTGTACACCACATGACTTCCTTGTACGGAATATTAAATGATACGCATTTTTTCTTGCATTTCATTTAAACTTATTAGATTGAGTTAAACCTACTTCGTCGACAGCGCATAAGCCACAATAGAATAAATGCATTCTTTAAAATTAACTTTGTTTACAATAGCGGCACTCTGGCGCTAGGTTTACTTAACAGTACTATATTTCGTTCATATTATAACTCATAATGCACAAAATTTATATCATTTAAAGAATTATCTAATCGTTGCCACATGTTATATTCAAATACTATAATAAAGCTAGAACCAGGACTTAGAAGAGAAGGGCTAGCTCATAGAGCTTTTCCCCCTGAAGCAGAAAGTGAGAAGTGATGACGTAGCCATGATGACACTGAGCGCGCCAATATAATTCACAGCTTGGAAATTAGCGTTTTTGAACCAGCATTTAAAATGAACTGTGTGTGAAAGATAGCTATAATTTGGAAGAGGCAATGTTACTGCTTTATGCATTTTAGACTGAACCATTAAGAAGTTAATAATGCTTACTCAATTTTAAAATAATAGATAAAATGTGCTACTCTTTTAACATAAAGTTCCTTTTTTATTTTTATTTGCGGGTTTTTTTATTTCATGCACGTTTATTTCTAATCATTTCTTTATTTGCATGCTAACCTGAGAGAATTTTTATACTGCTTCTAAGATAACTAAATAGTAGCTATTTAAATTTTACTCAAAAAACGACTTTACATTGACATAGGTTTAAAACATATATGACATATATGGCAACATTTCTGCTAACCTACGTTTGATTTTTGCCTAATTGTAAATTTTACATTGTTATAATTCTCTTCCTATTCAATATAATAGATATTTTTTAAATAATTTTGTAATTTATACTTATATCTATATTACAATTAAATAAATGTATATAAGATTGTTACCTTAATTTTGACGAAATAGCTTTATTCAGAGTACCTAAAACAGTTATTTAATTTTTTCAAAAGTGTGAGTAAAGGAAGCAGGTCTTTTTATGCCAATTACTTTGATGTTTTATAATATTATATTTTATCTAGAATGCTAATCTAGCACAAAATCTAATCAATAATTAGTTACAAAGGATACAATAAGAATAACTTTAACAAGTACTTAACAAAATTAGTTTGTTAAAAACTTGTTATTATTGTTGGTATTATTTTGGTACTATTCATAATACCGAAGATATTATCGATTAACTCATAGAAGTCAGATGCTTTTTGATTTTATGTGGGGTAGAGTATACCTTTTGCGGTACTTTTTGAAAATAATGCTTTGACCATTAAATAATTTGGTTTTAGTTTGTGACACAATTTGATTTCTTCTCAATCTCTATTTAAAACCTCTTTAATAATATCAAAATTTAAAACAGTTACATCTTCTAAAACAAATCCTCTATCTAAAATGCGGTTTCTCAGATATTTGAGGCAGAGCACGAAATGAGACATCTGATTAAAACAAACTGCACATTTTGAAAAGAACCAACTTAGTCCAGTTTAGAGTCATAGCAGAGTCTTCAATCTATATACATTTCGTCGAAACTGAGAACGCATATTTTTTCTACAGAATACAAATATTCGCCTCTTTCCTTCTTTAGAGTAAGAACATTACTTTGAATTCTTGGACCACACTAAAATTTAGAAAACGCTAAAAAATAAAATAAACACCATTTCTTTATTTGATAATACTAGGTAAAGATATTCCAATTTTTCTTAATTTTTTTCTTTCCAAAAATCATAGCTTTTAAGATGACAGAGCTCTTATGACGATGCAACGTGAAATATTTTTATTAGTCCAACTGATTTTTTTTTCTCTTTTTCAGTAATGCATTAATCTGCGTCTTTATAAAAATGGCTTTAGACATTGTTCCAAATTCTCAGATTTGTGCTCCCCCCCCCCCCCCCAAATTTCGCTATTTGAGATTTTAATTTTCTGATACCAATTTCTGTCTAGATGCCGTCCACCTTCTTTGTCGCTGAACAACATTCTAATATTTTTCTTTTCTCTATTTCATACTTTAATACAATTTAATACAATTTTCTAAGGATATTATTTTGTTCTTCAAATTATCAATGCATTCTTGTTTATCCTTAAACATTCAGGATGATCTACATTTTCATTTGTGAGTTTTATTTCAAAATCATTAAAATTTGATTTATTATTGTCATCATCAATTTCGATTTATTATTGTCATCATAATTTACTTTCGGCACAGCATTCCATTTCAACAGTTTCTTTCTGTGGCTATCCAAACAAGCGATTTCTCATATCTTCATAAACACTGCATAGAAAATGTTCGGTGCAGATTTTTCCGCTCTTCACATTAATAGAATCTTCTCTTTGACATTTGTGTATCCATTCTTTCGTCAAAAGCAAACTCTCATTTGGATCCTTTGGTCCCATGAAATAAAATATCTCATCCTTTCATACTTCTGTAAGTGCTACGGCACGTTACTGCAGCGCAAAAAGCCATATTACGTAAAGTTTACAATATAGAATTTAAAATAAAAACTGACTAAAATTACATATATATAAATTTTTTAAATATATACATTATTAGAAAACAGATATATATATTATTAAAATTCATTTGGGATATGTAACCTCTAGAAAATCGTCTCGCAGCTCAATGAAACTACTGTTTTAAATGCGGGAAATCAGGACAGGTGACATAACAGTGACGTCAGATTATTGCCTCTTACGTCCGCCCATTAGGCTCGCGTCGGCGAGGAGTCGAACAAAGAAATGAGCTAGCCCTTCTATTTATCCCTGGCTAGAACTATGTATAAAAGAAATTAAGAAAACAAAACAAAAAAGAAACAGTTTTTCACAGACGATTGAGTATTTCTCATTCAATTAATTCAGTTATCACTTCGCGACAAGGCAAAAATACATAAAACTCAAATATCTGTATTAAGCGGCACTTAAAAATTTTAAAATTGTTGATAATTCTAAAATATTGCATGCAAGATTTACTAAAGCAAAAAACCTTAAACTGAAGATAAGAACAACATAATTTAATTTTTTTTAAAAGCAAAAATGTACAATTTACTAACATATAAGAGTAAAAATCTGAATCACTGACCCGGTAACAGAGTGGATATATTATAAATATATTTATTTTGGTGCGGTCGATTGCAACCAAATACGAGGTGCCATTTAAATGTTATAGCAGTCCTATATCAAATTCAACGTTCTGAGGCTACTCGTTTTGAGTTATGCGAGAGAGTACTACGTATAGACGCCACGAAAAATTCTCTTCAGAATTCATTTTAAAGCAGTTTTATAATTTTTATGGAGGAAAAGAGTGTTTTATTCTGTCCTTACATACAGATATCACAGAAATACGTCGTTAAATTGCATTTGAAAGAGATCAAAATGGGATGTTTTCGTTGAAATATGCTGCCTGAAACTTTTCGCGATTGCAATACTTCCTTTTTACTTCGTACAAGGAAGTAAAAATGGCATTGCCAAACATTTAATATATTTTCGATTATTATCACCTTCGACTTTAATCAGCCGAGATATTAATTAATAACTCTGAAAATACTAATTTTTTCCAGTTGCAACAGTCTCGTTCGTTGCAGATAAAAATGCTTTATTTCGAAAAGTGTTGCTGCTACTCGCTTTCAAACCGTAGATCTTGTTAATTACAAATTTGTAAGTTTTACAAAATATGAAATAAAAATAATATTTCCAAACATTAAATATGTTATTATTATATAAGGTCATATTTTGACGTTGAAGAAAGCACGCGATTGCATGTGACGTCATTGTATGTCGAAAAGTTTTCTGTAATGTCAGCCTTTTAAATAAAGCTGCTGTTGGCAACTTTTTTGTTTCAGATTAAGATAAGTGACACGGTATGCTCTTCCCACGTTAATTATTTTATTGAGATTGAGAAAACGTTGTTATATTACGTTAAATTTAAATCATGTCGTCATACGTATTAACCTGAAGTGTCACAGGGTTTTGTTTTCTGGTTTGGCAACAAAACAAAAATGACTTACGAATTGGTTGTTGCTTGGAAAAAATTAAATGATTATTATTATTTCATTCATACTGAAATATTTTTATACATTTGCTCTTCAGGGGTACATAAAACTTATAAATTGTACTATAGCTTCAGCCCGCTCATCTGGCGGGCTTGCCAGCTTTAATTCTAAACATTTTAGCAATGCATTTTTATCGCTAAATAGTTTTCCTCATCACATTATTTAAGACATATTAAATTATTTAATTAACATAAAAATAATTTGAAATCTTCGATTGCCAATCTGATCAGTAATTAAAAGTCAAATCAGTAATCTAGATTTTCAAAATACGCTTATCAAGAGACGAAACATTTTCTTGTTGCCAAAAGATTAAAAAAAAACAATTTTGTTTTTTAAAGTAAGTAGTCACATTGTACAGATTCTTGGCTATATAATGATAAATAATGACAACAATAATAATAATTAAAGCAGGTTAAAAATTTAATCTTTCACAAAACAAAAGATGAGATACAAAGCAAAAATTCCTTTAACTTTTATAGAAGCAAAGCAAAGTAAACGAAATTTATTTCAAAGAAATCAATTTCCTCTAAAGCGCAGTCTAAAAACGGATCTCATCAGAAGATAATAAAAAAGAAAGACCAACATCAACTCTCCACTTACAAATAAAAGAACAGAAAGATCTATTGTTTCTTGAAGATTTATAAAGAACAAACTGAAATAAAGGATGCTGAAATTGAACAGAAGGAAGATTAAGGGCGAAGTTCTTGTTATTAAAAGCGAAATGCTACAAAAGTTAGAAAGTATTCTTTTTTTTTAACGAAACAGAATTCAAGATTTAACGCAACAAAAATACTAATACAGCTATAAAAGCTTTAAAAAATAAAGTGCCTTACAGAAAAGACACTTTAGTTTTGAGAAAATATACTACTTTTTCCTTTTTGCTACAGAATGGAGTTTAAAATTTACTTTGATGTACTTGAGTCATAATGAATTAAAAAATAATTAAGGCTCGCAGCGTGTTGCAAATTAAGTGTTTCTTATTCAAATATTACTTAGTCAGACTGGTGAAACTGTTCGAAATTTACATACCAACCACTTTTTTCCAAAAGAAGTAGCTAAAATCAGAGATACTAATTAAAACGATTAAAAACGATAATTTTTGCCCTCATTTTTCCAAGTGGTAACAGTCTCGCAAGCTGGAGATGAAAAGCTGCTTTATTTCGAAAGTAGTTGCCGCTGTTCGCTTTCAAAGTTTGTTAATAAAAACATTGTTTAAGTTTTACGATGAAATAAAAATAGCATTGCCAAATATTAAGTACATTATTCCCGATTCCAAAAAATTCGTGAGAAGCTATTTCGACTATACCCATCTTCGTACGACTTTAATCAGCCGAAAGATTAATTGAAAACTATGAAAGCGCTAATTTTCGCACTCGTTTTCCCGAGTGGCAACAGTCTCGCGCATTGGAGGTAAAAATGCTTTATTTCGAAAAGTGTTGCCACTGCTCGCTTTCAAATCGTAGACTTTGTTAATAAAAGTTGTAAGTTTTACAAAATCTATACATATAAATGAAGAATGTCTGTTTATGTATTTGTTTGTTCGCGTTATTGATTTTTGATCAATTATGATAAATGTTTTCCACATTTAATGGACTAAAATTGAATATAGGTGAAATGTTGGATGGAACCTGAGCTTTTACGACCATTTGATTAGAAAGACGAAAATCATTAAAAACTGCGTGCCATTGTTGCTAATATAATGAGAGAAGAAGAATTAGCTGATTTTTCTATTGAAACTCTTTATGTTTGTTCTATGTCGCATCAGACTGAAAAATGAATGACTATGAATCGTATTTTTTGCATCGTTATTAGAGAATGATTACAGCGGTATTATTCTCTCTGTTGTTATATTTATTACTCTCAATCTAGCTCTAATATCATCAGGTATTTCAGCTAGTAATTTATAAAATTAATCTCAAAATCATTAATAAATAGTTTCATTGCGTTCCATCATTCTGAGTTTCAAGAAATTGTGCCTAAGTGCTCACAATTTCTAACGCCTGTTAATATGAAGATATCAATTTTTGTGCTATTTCGCTCTTCTTGTATGTTCTAATTCTTGACACTGGTAGACAGAAAAATTTCTTCGATAATTTGTTTTGCTTAAATGTCTAATTCCTGCGACGCATTTCTTTTATATGCAGATATGAAATTACGAGGAACAACTGTTACTATAAAATAAATTATAATTAGTATATGATAAGTTGGTTACCATACGATAAACAATGACCATATAATAGATAGCATTCTTATCAAAATAGTCGACAACACTGACCAGTTGGACAACAAATGAATGCAATGGATTATACTGCTGATTTCATGGTACATAACAAAGCCATGAATAAAGCCAATATTAACTGCCTTTCAATAGAAAGTCCTTATGGAAAGCATCCCATATTTTAGGCAAATGCCGTAGACGCATTTCATTAATGAACGTTTCTGCTATGATACTGTTGCATATTATCTTATTATCATCATTTTAAATTACATTTTAGCAAGTAAATGTTACTGATATTTAGTTAGAATTCAATGAATTTTCTAGGCTAGAATGAATAATTAATGATATCTCTGTTAGAGATAGTTACTGTTTAAAAAATTAGCGATATCTATTTTAGATCTTACTTTATTATAAATTGCTAGGTTTATAAAACTTGCAAGGTTCCTCACTCATTTTGGCTAAGTAAATGTCGAGGAACCTAGTGAGCTGTTAAGAGACTTATCGCTGAGTTCAAATAATTAAAGACGTAGACTCAAGAATGGTTAACTACCCTTTATTTCCCTCAAAATAAGATGAACAGTTGGCCCCTTTCTCAGGCTTACAACAAAGCCTCCACCTGGGCTTTAATTCAGAATAAGAAATAAGAACTAAATTATAAGTAAGAGACTTAGTCGAAGCTAACGCAATTATCTAAAGTAATTGGTCTTTAATTTAAACTAGACGGTAAATATCAAAAGGCACGTGATAAACGGCCGAGCGTAACAGCTTCAATAGAGATTCAACCTGTAGGCAAGCACGCGATACTCAGGATTCCCATCTTTCTCTCTCACGAAGTAAGTTGATCCTTTCTTAAATACTACTTTCCTCTTATTTGCATTCAACGCGATTCTAAAAACTCATCCGGGTAGGGAGTTGTAAGTGGAAACAATAATTGATAAGAAAGGGATTTTAAAATTTAAATAACTGTTAAAAATTAAAATATACCTTACTGGTTAACACAAAAGAACTGTTGCATTAGCTAAAGCATTATTTCAGAGTATTTTTTTACTTGAATTAAAACATGGATATTTGGAAAAATTTGGTTGGTGATTTGGAAATATCTTTAGTTCGTATTTCCATAGATTTCTTTAATAATACAAATACAGAGCCTATGCCAGAAAATCTTGTGTAAAAATGTCTCTTGATGAAGGAGATAAATAACAGTAGAATGTTTAGCCTAAATTAATTAATCTCTTAATCACGTCAGAGAAGGTGATTCTGTTTAACACCAGACAAAAATATAATTATTTCTTACAAGAGTTGGTATTAAACGAGCACATAAATTTGTTATTAAAGTATTGGATAACCTAACTATATTGCTGAAAAAGAGCAAAGCGAAGTAAGATACGCTAGTGCCTACGAAACGGAAAGCAAATATGTCTTCTACCCAATATGATTGGTAGTTAAGCATAACAGGACGTAAAATTAGACGTCAGGCATTGACTAATATTGGAAGAACTATTCAGAAAAATTTCAAAATTTAACAGCATTTTATCGCAATCCACCATCCATCATCTTATTGCCCAGATCTTGAAAATAATTTCATTGTGTTTGTCTTTTCTTTTAAAACTTACTACATTATTTATTGTTGCAAAGCACTCAAGGATTTTCTAGCTGAGGACAGCTACATTCCTGGAAGATCTCTGAAAGGAAATTTGTGAGTATCCTCCAGCCAAAGAAATGTAAAACATTGCCTAAATACAGCTTATTAAGTCTGCAGGAACTGAATTATCAATGTTCGATGTTTTTATCTACGTTTTCAGTGGCGGACTTTAGCGAGACTGGACAATAAACATTTTTATTCATAAAAGTAAGTGAAAATGGTTCACTGAGAAAGTGTGAAAGAATAAATATATCAATTTTCTAGCAACCTTACCCATTAAATGCTAAGCTTAAAGAAAATTGTTTTATCATATACATGTTTCAACATAATTAAACTCTGGTATTCATTTCTAAAAACTGTATAAAATCTAATTACTAAATCACCGAAAGATTACTGTTATATCTTAATGTTATGAAAAATATTCACTTACCATGCCAATCGTCAGCAGATCTGTAGAAGACTTTATATCCTTTCAACACACCGTGAATGGCTGATGAGGGTGGAGGTTGCCATGTAACTTTAATCGTTTGTGATGTAAGTGCCATGCAGTCAACTTGTTGAGGAGGTATACTAGGAACTGAAAGTAAAAAAAACGTAACAAAATTCAAGAACAAAGTATGCTTATTCATAGCATCGAATTTGTAGGAGGAGGTAATAAATTAGCATTTCAGAAATTTGCATTAAATTAAAATTTTGCTGTTTTCAACAAATTAATAGAACGAATTCCTAAATCTTTGATAGAACTTCATTATTTATATAGTTTTGTAATAGCAATGCTTTTAGGAGTGCATTCTGTGTTAGTGAATGTTCACCAGTTCTGGCCTTACGAGTGGCTAATGCAGGCAATTGCCTGCCATTAGATTAAAAAAGTATAGTAAAAGATCAGCTTCAAATGTTAGAGAACCTTAGCGTTTTCAAATCGAACACTGGTAACTACTGTAATTGCCAAAGAAAAAGAAAGATGAGTCAACTATGATAAAATATAAATTTATTATTCTAGATCAGTTCTACTTTTGGTATCTTTCTTCTCTATTCAGTTTTATCTGGTCTATAGCTTCCACATAGATAAAAGTTGCATATTATTACCTAAACCTATAGGAGTAATAATTACTTAACAGCAAAATAAGCATTTAAAATGTATGCGTATTTTGCTCTCTTCTTTATACTTTACATTAAACAGGGAAAAATGGAGTATTTAAGTAACACTTGTTTAATCTGCTAACATAAAAACAATTATAGAGACGTACAAGAAACTTTACCCGTAAAGTTCACTTTATCACATGATTCCATGATAGTGGGCTCAAACAAAATTTTTTATTTTTAATATTCAGTTAAATTTTGACTTTTGAATGGATATTTGCACTTCATAAAATAGTAATAATAAATGCGTGTTATTATCACTTCATAAAATAGTGATAATAACTTAATAAAATCATTCAGTAACAGCAAAAGTTGAATGGAATATTGTTTTACTCAGTTTTTTTAGCTCGGTTTGTAATTTGAACTTGCTTATTTTTATAGAAATTGTTAAACCTATGAGCACACTAAGATACAACTTACTTTCCTTTCTTTCTTCGCATCAGTTTCAGATCTGTGCTTAGTTTTTATAACCAGGACTTAATTTCTGAAATTTGAAATCTCGGAGGCCTAATGTAGTCAGGAAAGTTGAAAAAATAAAGATGTAATAATAAATAAAGCAATAAATAATAATCAGTAAATTAAAATAAAAAATAATTTAGAGTTATTAATAAATTAAATTAATGACACGTAGATAAATAAAAATCATAATAACGTATCATAAAACCTAAATGAAATAAGGAACACAATCAATAAACTAAGATAAGAAGACATAGAACCAAGGATAAAAGAAAGATAAATATGTTATACGGTATTTTCTGTGATCAGGCAAAACTGCTCTTCTATTTTGGCTTTTAATATATTTAAAGCATTCCTGATCAGATGGCCCACCAGCGGCCGAGCGGTAAAGACGCTGAACACTGGTAGTTCGGTCTGAGGTTCGAATCCCGCGAACGGGCTGGCTGCATGGGCGTTTTCGTGGTTTTCCCCATGTGTAACGTGTATACGAGCCAGTTTCCCTTAGAAAGTCCTCCACGAAAGGCATCCCTCCCTTTAGGCAGATAGCCCTCGTGTGCTTTGCCATAATTAAATACACACACAAATACACACACCTGATCAGATGAGTACACCGGATAAATATTCCTCTTCTTGGTAGGGTACTATATTTCAGTTGTATAACAAAAAATGCAGCCTAGATTCTATGTTTTCTGCTCATAAAAGCCACTGATAACCGAGCCCAGCACAAAAAGGAAGTTAAAAAGGAATTACTCTTACTAAACTGAGGATAATGTCTCTTACTAAATCTTAGGAATTCCTATTTTCTTTGGTTCAGAAGGGCTATTAACTTCGTATTAGCATTTTGCGTTGAAAACTTTAAATGTCGGTTCACTTTTCAAACTGTTGGCATCAAATATTACAACCCTGTATTGTATTTAAAGAAATTAAATAATGAAGAATCTGCATAAATGTATGTATGTTTCTCGCATTGTGATAAAACGGCGGTTCCTAAAGCCATCAAATTTTGAATAATGTACGTTTCCACACGAATATGGGCATATGGGAAGCCCAAATTTGGAATTTGTTTTATTATCTATTTCAAATTTTGTATATCTTTAACGAATTTTTTAATAATAAAATTTTGGAAACTGCGAGGGTAATATCCCTGGAGCTTTGCATTTGCCTGAGAGCCTACTGAAAGTTCTTTCCTTTTCGCTATTAAAAAGTATGCATGAAGTATGAATTTCTGTCACTGCAAAAGTGTGGATGAAGATCGCATCAAAGGAAGGGACTTTAAATCTACTTAAACCTCTCTCCAATTTTTGTGAAAAGTACTTATCAAAACAAGAAGATTGTATAGTTAAGCGTCTTTAAATCACAAAAACATTATATCCTCCAGTAAAATTTATTTCATTATTCGCAATGAGCTGCTGCAGAGATGAAAGTAAGTCCATTTCTTCTTTTTATTGTTTTTCTTTCCTTCTAAAAAGAAATTATTATTATTATTGAAGTAAATCAAACGAATTCCACTTTCTTGTAAAACCTACCAGAGAGATGAACCTGTCAGACCTATCAATTCTAATAAATGTTTCATAATTAGCCAACATTAGAGACAGCGTCAGTCCACCGACAGTAATTATTAGATTATTAGGGAAAAAAACTCTTACAAATCCAGTTTGAAGAATTCATTTCTAGGTGCAATATTTTGCTCGCAGATCCAAATTATCTTTCTAAGATGGTTTTATGGATAACTCTGGTATATATTCAAATTAATTTCCTATGATATAATGTTAAAGAGCTCTTTAGTTATCTGATAAATTTAACTGCCAATTATTAGAATTTTGATTTGCTTTCAACGGCAGCATTCTTCTATGTGATTGAAGAAGCATGGGAAAGATAATTGAGTAAGATTGCATATTTATTAGTTTTTAATTTAATAAATATATTTGGTTAATAATTTTATTAAGAATAATTTGGCAGCCCATATGAAGAAATAAGAAAAGACATAGTTTTATTTAAAAAATCAAAATTCAATAAACGGGAAGCCTATGTCATTCCAAATGAGAGAGACTAAATACTATTCATTTAAAAAAATTAATTGTTTCATAGGAAATCTAATGCTTTATCGAGCAACATATAATATTTTGGAAACAACTGATCGATTTGTAAAAGGAGATATTTATGCACTAAATATAGCATTCAGGATAATATGACATTTTTCTAAGAAATTCAGTCTTAGTATTATATTTGTGATCATGAAAATTCTATTTTATTTTACAATTCAAAGATCCATTTTGATACTATTACGCACATTAATTTTATTTCACATCAGATTACTCAAGTACCCATTCGAAGACCTGCGAAAAATTGAAACCAGAACTAACATAACTTAATTTTTTAACTTCCTGCGAAATATTATTTAAGCCACTGAAATAAAAGACTCAGAAGAAGTGGTTAAACGAGATAAAAAACAGTATGTGCAATAGACACGAAAAAGAAACGAAATAAGGATCTCAGATCAACAATGGTATTTTTTCGAACTATAAAGAGAAACCAAGTTACTATTTGGTTTCGAGGGCCGTAAAAAAATTGCAGCGAAAGCGTATGCGCAAAAGCGCCAAATCTAGCAAACGCGCCCATTTAAACAGGGCGCCAAATCTAGCGTACGCGCTGATTTCAAATTGCGTAAGTTTATATAGTTCTATATTTCTTTAGACTCCATTGAAAACTAGTTTACTTGTTTAATCCTTTTTTTTTTAAATCCCTTTTTGATATCCAATGGATTTAAAATTTGGGAATTGCACATGACGAAAAGTCTGCAATAGAACTTTGGGTAAAATGCAGAATCATCCAAAACTGCTTGACGAGTTTTTAAAAATTGTACATACTCGGTATTCATGTACACATCGACCTATTTTCATTTAAACAAAATCTCAGAATTGCACAAAAATGGCACTACGCACATTCTTGACTATATCTATGTACACATCGACCTATTTTCACTTAAAACGTAATTGAAAATTGACAAAAATCCAATTGTTTTTACCCTTATAAAAAGGGCCAAACAAATAAGTGGGCGATTCTGCACTTTACCGAAAATGTACAAAGCAAAAGCATCATTCATTATAGAAAAATATGTTTGAACAACCAACGAGATGAAACTATGCTTTAGCGATAACTCGGTAGCGAAATAACAATGCAGGCATCCATTCTTATGTTTATCAATTTTTATATAAATTATAATAATGATCTGAAATAGTTATTTATCTTATGCTTCTATCAGTCATGTTTAGCCTTTTTCATATAAATTATATTAATAAAAAAGTATTATATGAAATTAAACCTTTCATCTAAATTAAAACATCAATCTTAAATAGTTATTTACTATTTTACTTCCTTTCTTGCGGCAATTATTAGGGTTGCCGCAATTATTTTTGGCAGCATTGGCATCAACATTAGTTTGGCGATTTTTTACGGCCCTCGAAGCCGAATAGTACCGAAACCAATATAGGAAACTGCAGGGAAAACCAGTATAAGTGCCACTTTCTACTCCAGATACAAGTGGTTAACTACATCGTAAGGTAGCTTGAGGCAGACACCAACTCTATAAGTTGTAAATCAAAATTATTCGGCAAATTTACCGATATTTTGGAGCAAGTAGAGTCGCATCCTACCCTGCGGCAATCACATTCATTCATAGAGAGGTCAGATTATTGGTAAGCGATGTGTGAGTATTGGTATTATCGGGGCAACTCTGAGAGAGCTATGACGTAGCCAAATAATGCCATGACTATAAAAAGAAGATTATCTCTTATTGTATTAGTTTAGGGATAGTTTCAAACTGAGGGCGATGGAGAAATGTTTTGGACACTTGGATAAGTCATTCCTGCTATGGAAGATATCGAACGTTCCGCAATAACAGCAGATTGCATGCAGTGGAATAGCATTTCCTTGTGCAAAGGCCATTCATGTCTATGAATTAATATTAAAAGCTAAACAAGT